ATATTTAAAAATGAGTAAAATTCTAAAAAGTATACATTTTTATTTTCTTGAACAATTCGAAATTCGAATTCAATAAACTTTTTTGTGGCCAGCATTCTAAAAAAAAAGTTTTTACTGTGTGACAATACTTATGACCTGACTGTGTATAATGGAAAGTGACTTCACGAATAATCTTTTATTGAAGTCATTTTTCAATTTGACAAGGAGAAGAAAACAGCCCTTGCTGAGTTTCTTGCCGGTTCTTCTCAGTGCAAGGTCTCCGACCGTAGATTGGCGAACTGATTTGGCTTTTTGACATTAACAAGTGCTTGTTACAGCCTAGACTAAATAAATGATATTAAATTTTTGTTTTATGAATATTAAGAAGCTATCGCTTAATCGAATCATTGCCCTCAAGAAGAAGAAAATGATGTGTGATTTTTATCTCCCTTATATTTTCAAACTTCCGCAGAATATTCACCTTTGTACATTTCCATTGCTCTAACAAGTATTATTACATTTTCGATAATTAAGAAACATAGTTCTAAGTATAAGTTTCAATTTATTTTTAAACGAGCTTATGTTGCCTTATTTAAATATATAATGAGATTTTGTCTCACATATATATATACGTAATGTATTTAGTATTTACAAATATAAATATGATGTTTCTTCTTTGTGAAATAATGTGAGCGTAAAGAGGACTATATGATCAAACCCAAAACAAATACAATTTCCGAGAATAAGTGCGTCAATATGGGCAGGTCGTTATGCAAGGTTCAAAGGGCTAATCTTGTTTCCTTTGCGCCTTTTGTACTGTTGCAAAACAGTAGAATTGTGTTTTATTATTTTTGGAATCATAATGATTTTGACTGACTACGAAGTATTATGAAACAAATAAAATTCATATTAATGTCCATCCGTTTTGAATTTTGGAAATGTTAGAACGTGTCATTTTGAGGGTTACCTTACCTCAAAACGGAACCCTTATAGGAACACTTCGTTGTCCGTCTGTATGTCAAGACCCTTTATATCAGGAACGCGTGGAGGCATCGCGTTGAAAACAACTCAAGTCTGCGGTCTCCTGAAGCTGTAAAAAATGGTTGTCTGTAAAATCGGTTTATGGACGATAATACGTGATAACGTGTCGTACACTGTTTTCCTCGAAGCAGTTTTGTGTGGCTTTTTTTTCCAGTTCCTTTGAGCTCAAGCACGCTATAGGGGCCCGAGTATAGTTCTGCAGGGGTAAGGTACTCTTCGAGGGGAAGGGGGGAGCGGGCGGCTTAGGGGAGCACAGTTGGGGAACCAGGGCGGGGAAGTGGGAGGAGGTTAGGGGGGGTCAGGGGTGTTTGGAATGTCAGGGGAGTCCAAGGAACCCCTTAGCCTCACCTCACACACCGAGGAACGTTTAACTAATTCCTAGCAACATGCCATGATGTCACACTTTTTCGTGCGTGCAGCCGATGTTCATCTATTTATAAGATGCTATCACATCAAAATCAAATTCCTAAGTTAACGTAAATAAAAAAAGATACGGCCGATTATCTGTCTTTCTGTCAAGACCCTTTATCTCGGAAACGTTTATAGATCATAAACTCAAGGCAACGTTACATTAAAGCGGTGAAAAAATGAAACTTCTAAGTTAATGTAACAAAAGATACAACTTTGTATGGAAACCTCGGTGGGCGACCCTGACTCGCACTAGGCCGACTTTTTATATTATTATTATTTAATATCCAATTTCATGAACTGTATCATATACTAACCACGTTCAGCTTAGATGAGTGTTTAGCTGAAAATATGGAGTGAAAGTTATGTTTTTAGTACTGGCCATATATCTCTCATGCATTATAATAATATCTAAATGCTAATTGGGAAATAAAACTGACTTAATATCGCAATTTGTTTCAGTTATAACTCACCCGTATTTTTCATTTATATGTTGGTACCTATTTAAATATCGCTTGTCTACGTTGCCATGGATATTCTTCGTGAAAATTTTCGTAGAATGATTTACTACGCTTTCCAGCCTCAGCAGATTATTTATTGCCTTTAAACTGCTTTTATCGATGAAGCATCATGCAAATCGAGATCGACGATCAATTGCCTATAGCTGGTTTGCAGAATGCGGTCGTATCTGATAGTCGTATCAGTCTTACTGACGCATGTCAGACTGTTTACCGTTGTGAACATTAAATATATCGATGTTGTATGACGTAAGATCAAAACCTTAAATCATAATTTAAGGCTCAAAATCACGTCTCTAGGTACAATACCATGATTACTGGATTCAATAAAAGGACGTTTTTTGTGTGGGACATAGTGACTAGTACAGAACTTGAATTTCAGCTACGATCCCAAATCAAAGAAGCAGTCCCATCCCATATCAACAAAATCAACTGCATTCACTGTATGTCCAGTTTCATTTACATTAAGTTTATGCCAGTCCTTATTGAAAGACCCAAACGGGTGGGTGAATGCAGTAGATTTTTTAAAAGTTGTTCTTAACCTTTTCGGCCGTTTCCTGGCAGATTTGTTGTTTTTAAATATATGTTTTTTAACGCTTATCATATTACGAATGAAATGTATTTGCGTTTATAGACAGAACAATGTACCCAAAATTATCGGATAAAGAAATGACACAGAACTATATAAAACGGTGACGATTCTGATATGATTCACTAAACTTAGAACTAAATTTAACAACAGTCTCTCCTTTTCATTCTGTATAGAGAATGACAAGGATGCACTGTTGTCAAATTTAAGTTTAGGTTTAGAGAATCATGCGAAAATCGACACCAATGATGAACTAAGTAGTTGAATAAGTTACACTTCAAGCCAAATAGTAGTAAGAGCATTGTAGCTAGCGTCTAGTTCTTCAGTAGAGGATCTCTTTTCAACTAGAATTCCAAACTTGCTTAGAAGTTCGTTAACTTCTACGTACCTACTAGTTTTACTTAGTGTTTAAATCTGCGGCTTCAAAGTTGTTTTCTTGTTGCAAACTTTAAAGTTTGTGTTGATGCAGAATTAACTATAAACTTTATCGACATTCTAGCCCTTGAATTAAGAACTATCAAAGGTTTTCTTTGAAACGAATAAAATAAAATACTGTTCCCAAACTGTACCATACTGTTGCGAAAACGTTGTGTATTTGTGATAAAAAAAATAAAATATACACATAAAATCGCCATAGCACCTTTTCAAATCAGAGTGTGTGTCAGGACCGCCTGAGGGGTTTCTGAAAAATGACGAGATATATACTATAAAACTGTACCTAACAGTACCTGTGAACAGATAAATAGTACTTTACGCATTTACATAAAAGGTAGTGTCATGCTCAAGCCATTCTGATGTCTGGTTGGCTTGTGTATACGAAACAGACAGAGGCAAACGCATTCGAAACAGATTCCGATACATATATCGGTAATCAGATTTAGCTGGAGTTTCCTGTGAAGAACAAAAAAGCTCTCGGTAATTTACCTATTAAATTAAATGAAAGTTTAGTCTTTCATCTTCGGTTCTATGTCGAGAATATGTTGTCCTGTACGATGATTTGTGAAGTTATAATTTCATTGCTCAGATAAAAACACTTAACATATTCTCATATTTTACCACAAAGGAGTAGCCTACCTCAGCTCTCTTTTACCAGCCTCCAATTGCTTAATTTGAGTTTCATATTCCTAATTTTGTACAAAGCAATAACTTGAAAAGATCAATGACCCCCAGAATAGAAAATCCTCGTTTTTATTCTTTGTGTATCCTGAAATATTTTTTTCATGATCGCCGAATCAGAAATCTGCCAATATTTACAAAATTTGATCTGGGCATCTCAAAGAGGGTGTTATTGGATATTAAGTATTACTTGAAAGCTTTTAATATTAGACTTGTAAATACTTACAGTTAAAAATTGTAATCTCCTTTGAAACCGATAATTTCATCGTGATTGGAATGAAAAGAAATGAAACCATACTGTTATTTAAATCGTGTTCAAGAAGATTATCGCCAAAAAGGGAGGTCATTTTTTTTAACTTAGGTTCACTTGTAGCAATTTCACTAAATCTCAATTCAATTACAAATAAATGTATTACAAAATGACAAAACTTCGATGTTAATTTGACATTGTTGCATGATATGGTAATCTAGTTTTAGTTAAGTTATGATTAGCAAAATGGTTGCAAGTGCACCTTAGAAACTGATGATGGTCTCGTTTATTAATATTAAATTAGTTTACACGCTTAACATGTCGTTTTTAGGGTTCCGTAGCCAAATGGCAAAACACGGAATCCTTATGGATTCGTTATTTCTGTCTGTCTGTCTGTCCGTATGTCACAGATACTTTTTTTCCGAAACTATAAGAACTATACTGTTGAAACTTGGTAAGTAGATGTTTTCTGTAAACCGCATTAAGAATTTCACACAAAAATTAGAAAAAAGACCAATAAATTTTGGGGGTTCCTCATAACTGAACTGAAATTTAAATTCAGTTTGAGCGAGAGACACTTCCAAAGTGGTAAAATATGTCCTGCCTATATTATATTTATATTTGTAAGCATTAACTGCTAGATGTTTAAATGTAAAGAAAATTTTACTACACAAAAAATCCACTTGGTCGCGTTGAATCTTCCGCGGTTAGTGCGTCGATTTTTTCTAGAATTTTTTTCTTTATACGAGGTATTTTAGTTCTACGGCAATTTAAAAAAATGTGTATGTATAATCATTGTTTGGCAAATAAAACAATAACAAATTGAAATCATTCCATGTGAATGATCTATACGTTCGCCGTAATATGAATAAATTGCTTTGAGCCGAGCATGGATACGGCGTACCACAAATTTTAGATGGCTCTTGTCCCTCAATCCTGCATATACGTAACCCCTAGATTTACTCGAAATCCCGACTTAGTAGCCGACCCAAGCCGACTATGAAATGTTGCGGTTAGATGGATGACTGCTTTCAAATATCATTTCACTTTTATGGAGGACAATGTCTATTTGATATCTCTTAAACAAGTGGAACTATTAAATTGAAGATCTAAAAACGGTTTTTCTCAAAATACTAACAGCTTTATTTATATAAAGAGTGGCAATTAAGAGTGTAGCCATCTATCTTCATGGTAAGCAGCTCTCGAAGTTTATTGCTTGCTTGCTTGCTTAACCTGAAGTGTTTATTCACGCATTTCTTATCCTAATACTATTCCCAACGCTGTAAATCTGGCGACGACCGTAGAACACTACTGGAAGGATATTTCCCAAAACGAAAGAGGAAAAAAGGCGGTGCATCTCACGATAATAAACTAATTTACGCTAAAGAAAATTACCAATTAACATTTAAATTTTATATGAACAATAAATTCCGTATAGATTCTCGCAATCCCCTCTGTTGCATCGAACGCAGTTTCTAAACGGGCTTGGCTGGTACGGGGTTTGTCCGATCCAGTTGCCTCTGTAAAGGAAAAAGAAACAAATTGACATATTGCATTGATGAAAATTTAATTTACCGCAGTCACTGTTGCGTCAGCTAGTAGAGTGATTACGTCCCGAGACATCTCAGTTTGTTAAAGGAAAGACGCTCAGTGGTCCTGCTAGCTAGAGGAAATACAGGGTGACTTAACGTAGTATAAACCAATCAGGCCATCCAGCTAGCAGCAAAATAAAGATTTTATTCAGCGAATTGCGGCTTCTTGGAAAACATCTGTGTCGGATGCCCGTGTTCTGCCGAGCTTTTCTATTTGCAAGTCAGTCAGTCTAAATCTGCTAAGGTAAATTACTTTTGATGTTGCTCTATTTTGTTAAATTAATCATACCGTCGCAAGCAACAGAAAAATACTATCGACGACACCGCGCAGATAATCATGATAATTATTTTAATTATGTGAGTACCCAATATCCATATGGCTAAATGTTCACGGTTACCTGTTTAAAATTGTTTCTGCCCCCTTATTAATAAACGATGAATAAGCTTAAAATAGTTACGCCGTGTTTTGTTTATTTCACTCAGGTGCCATTTGTAAATTTTCCTTGAGCAAACACAAAACGTAGAGTAACAAATCCAAGCTTATTCTTTGTTTATTATTAAGGGGGCAAAGATCAGAGATTTTTTTTTGTTATGGGGTACCAAAAGTCTTATTTCTTAAATAAGGCATGGCATCTAAACTCTTTTGGTTAATAAATAGATAAATAGTAACCAACCAATGCTCTGATAACATTTTAAATCAAGGGAACTGTCATCTGTGACGTCGCGAATTTGTAAATACGTCCATCTATGAAATCGTTCCCCCAGACTACAACAGACAGGGATTTTGATCATATTCTCCTTTGTAAATAAATATTATGTTAGTATTTACAAAGGTCAGGGGATCACTATTTCATATTTTCCTAACGCTGTATTACATAAAAAATAAATTCGTTTGTCTTATCCTTAATTAACCATAAATCTGTCTAATCCTGTCTGCGGACAGTACCGAAGTCCAGTAGTTTGACTCCTATATCGACTTATGATTTTACATTTTTAATAAAATTCAAGAGTTTATTAAGAGCGTAATCTGAGCAATACATCTGCCTTATGTATTGCTCACATTTCGATCAGAAATGGAACCATATTGTTTATCAGAAACAACGAAAGAGCTGTACCCGTAGTACGAGTTTGTGCTCACGAAAACTATCATAGTTTTCGTAATTGTAAAACTCGTAATAAGGGTACTGGGTAAGGGAGGCAGATCTTAAACGATTTTCTTGAAGTAAAGAATGTAATATTATAATAATAAATTTAATGGGAACTGTAACTACATCGATCTAAGTAGGTACTTTATTCTTGTTTCTAGTTTAAGCTCTCTAACTTGTCCAGATTAATTGACTTTGTAAGCTGTTAGAGGAATGAAATACTCTTACCTACTTAGTTCGCGGCAATAGAATTAATCGGTTTCTGCGCTGATGTTCCTTTGATAATTTATAGTTGTTCGAGTTTGATTGCCTTACGAAAAATACTTCTAAGTTTTGAAGAAATTCCTTCTAATGAAATTTAATGTTCTTTTGCGTATTGACGACCTAATGACGACCTCCGTGGCCGAGTGGTATGTACGCCGGGTTTCATGGTGTCGCTAACTCGAGAGGTCCCGGGTTCGATTCCCAGTGGGGGCAGATGTTTGTTTGATGAAAACGAGCAATTGTACTCCAGTCATGAATGTTTAATATGTATTTTCTATATAAATATATTTATATATGTATCAGTATATGTATTCTATCCGTAACCCTAGCCTCCCATAACACAAGCTTACAGTGCTTACTTTGGGGCTAGGCTAAATGGTGTAAGTGATGGAAATATTTAATTATATATATTTATTTCTTAGTTTGCGTCTAGTTTTGTTTTTACCACGCGGTCCCTTTGTGAATTGGGGTACAAACACAAACATAGACCCAAACTGGTCATACTTTTACGTTAATTTATTTCTTCGCGACACCGTTCTCGATACCGGACGTTAATCGTAATGTGTAAAACATTTCTAACTATGTCATATTTAGCTGTAAAAACTAATTGAAATAGGTGCTTTATCACCACCTGATTGTTCTCGTATTAAAATCTGAAACGCTCTCTTTCCATACAATTTGAAGTAAATTAAGCGCCAGACTTAGACAACACTCCTGAATTGTTTAATAAATGTTTTGAGATTATTTTACTAACATTTCTGGTAATGACATCTATAGACGCTAAAGATTTACTTCAACAAATATTTCGCCATTTTCCTTTACGTATGTTTATATTATGTAAGATATTTATGTATTTTGTAAAATAATAATCATGAGTTCTGAATTTATTATTTTTCTTACCTCTTTATATTTGAGACCAAGAATGTTGCTCAATAAAAAAAATTCGGTGTCATCTTTTGAAGTCATTCAAAAGCTATAACATCAATATATATATATATATATATATATATATATATATAATTTATATATCAAAATGAATATAGTTATAGTTTTTTTGTGTACATCAATAATACATACTTAAGGTTTACGTAATGAACTAATTAAACTGATACTAACGTTGGTCCATAGTTGCAAACATAGAGTGTCGTTGTCATTCTACCCTTTTTTGTCTGCGAGATTCCACACCCGACGCGCGTTGAGTTCGCCCATATCATCTGTAAATGTTTGATAATTTGACAAGAAATAAAAATATATAATAGTGGGGAGGGGGTGGGGGGGGTTAGGGGACAAATCGTAAGTGTCCCGGCCTAGATTTAGGCACCTCTACTCCTTCGTTGCCCCCCACACCTCTAGATCCGGTCCTGGCAGGGCAGCATAACTTTATATTTTGCGGTTTCCGATATTTTTTTTAGGACGAAGCAGTTACTACCATGAAAGTTTAAGACAATATGTCGAGAATAACATAGATTATTCCGATATATAATAAAAGGAAAATTATGTTTAAGTTACGTCATTTTTTCCTAGCGGTGTTTCATATCACAATAAACTACATACCAAAATCGTTACGGTTTTACTAAAAGTTAGACACTGTTTTATGGTTCGTTCTCACATACGGTATTACTTGATATTAATAGATATTTTAACTCTAAAGCGAATAAAAATCAACGTGTGTACCGCAAAATTCACAACTCGAAGGCACTTACGCAGGACGCGATGGGGTACTTTTTACTCGCTTTTGAGTTAAACTATCGAGTAATACCGTATGTGAGTCCTGACAATTAAACCTTGTTTAGACAAATTTGTGTGAATTTTTTCCTAAACTCATGTTAAATGCATGTTTTACCTTTTTGTGACAATGAGGTTAAGTTGTAATACAACTTGTATTGTGTTTTTCCGAGTAAACCGTATACTGCAAAAATCTGACCCGGCTTAGAAATTTATAACTCCTTGTGAAAGTAGCATTATAATGTATAAGTATTCGCTATGTGCGAAGTACATGGTGGGGGTATAGTGAAGCGATCGCAGCGCTTATCGTGGCAGAAATACGCAACAATCCGGGAAAGTAAAGTCAATTTGCACGGAGTTCGTAATAAACAAAATTTTTTTAAAATGCCTATTAATAGATGTTGTTGTGTTGTGAATTGCAAAAATAAGGGCACAAATAGTCTGTGTATATATTTCCTACATTGGACTGGAAATTAAATCAAAGAAATAAATGGATAGATGCCATAAAAAGAAATAAGTAAGCGAAATAACCTTAAATTATGATCAATTTTATTTGCACTATATATTTTATGTGATATTCATTATTGTCTTTATTATTTTAGTGTTGATGGGTCGCCATGGTATCCCAAACCTGACGACACAATTTGTAGTGAACATTTTATGGGAAACAAAAAATCAGACGAGGAAGAAAATCCGAGTTATGCTCCTACGATATTCCCTGAAATATATCGAAAGAGGAAGGTTAATGATTCACAGGTCCTAGCTAGATATACACGCTTGACAAAACGAAGAACCACAAAAATCTCAGATACCACATCAAGTCAAATAATAATTGAAGAAGGGAGTGAATTAAATCAAACTCAACCTTTTATGATCGATCAAGGATGTCAAGTCAATATGTTTTCTGAATCGAAATTAAGAGTTACAACTTTTATTTGTATTAGATTAATTTACAGTGATCACTGTGATCCAACATCAAGAATTTTAATGACAAATAATTCAAGAAAGAAAGATAAAAGCTGTGGCACTGACAAAAAATCGTATGAGGATCAATCTACCGAAACAAAAAGTCAAGAATTTGTTGGTATTTCATCAATAACAAATGATCAAGAACTCCTAGATCCTTCTGGTGTGTCATTTAGCAATTTTGAGTTTTTATTAACAAGATTAACTATGAGAAAATGTACAGTTTCCACTAAAGACCGACTTCTGATTTTTTTGATAAAAATGAAAACTGGCTTGACATTTTCAGCATTGAGTGTGTTATTTGGTGTACAAAAAAACCACAATCTCACGTATATTTCATTCGATCTTACAAAATCTAGCTTGTTCAACTGCTAATTTAATCTTTTGGCCGAATAGAGCCACCGTACAAGCACCAATGCCCAAGTGTTTCAGTCCAGATTACATCAATACAAGAGTTATTATTGACTGTACTGAATTCCGAATTGAAATCCGACATTATTTAAATTATTATACAATATATAATAATTTTTATTTATCTTTACCTTACTATATTTACTAGAAATCAATAAAATACAAACTGATGTCATTATTTGGCATAATCCCGGAAAGTTGCGCATTGTAGGTGGCGCTACTGTCGTGCACATAGCGAAGCACACAAAAGTAAACACAGTTACCTGAGGTCTTGCTTCGTTTCGACCCACTAGTGGTTAGACCCGAAGGTCGAATCGCCCACAAACTCTTTTTGAATGGGTCGTTTCACACCGCACTCTAAGTGTGGGTCGAAACGCCCAATGCGTGGTATGTAATGGGTCGAATCGGACCGCGGTGCAAAAGTTTACCTGAGTGTAGTGTCCAATACGCTTAGCAGCCTCCAATGTGTAAGGTTCAAATCCGTATTTCCAATGCTCCTCGAACCAGGCGTTTAAAGCATCTTCAAATTTTGGTATTACTTTCACATCTATAGTCGAGTAAAATTTTGATATATAGAGATTTTCGCCCACCAAATTCCACCTTTGAGAAGCTGAAATACGTATAGGTACGTAGTTTAAGTTTGTGTTAACTATTTTTGGAATAAAATCTTGTACGGAGAAACAAATTTGGCTTACAAAAATCTGAAGCTTTCGCTAACTGGCTATAAGTAATATATATTTTTTTAAGTAAATTAAACAAAAAGCTGTAATACGCAACTATAGGTAGGTAACTATAGATTCTTAATATCTGATAGGACCATATAGAACGATAAAATTCAGTAATCTTTATACCTCAATAAAATAAAGTACTTACGAGAAGTGAATTAATTAAAGCAAGACAATAATTAAGTAAATATAATCATATGAATAATTCATATCTTTATTAAAATTTATATCTTTGGCTACTTTCACTGTAGTAGTGTTCTATACGGTGAAAGTACTTACGCTTTAATTGGAAATTCGCTACTTCTCTAATATCTCAAAGACAGAGAATTAAAAATCTTGTGAAGCGATTTCATGAAATTTTCAAACCATCATGGAAAGATTCTTTAAAATGTAATAAAAAAAAACATGTTCTTTTAAACAGGGTTAATTTTAAAACACCAACAACCTCTTGGGGGGTGATTCTACCCATCAACAGGAACAACTTTTACTGTGGAACCAACGCTGAAATCGCGAAAAAAATGCTGCTGTTTCATACAAAAGTGCATTAGCTAATCGACCGAAATATATGAAAAAGCTGTTTTTTTGCAAAGAGGTTGTTGTTGTTTTTAAATTAACCCTGTGTATCGTTTGTTCATCCCAAAACCCTGTATATCGTGTAAATCATCTTGTTAACAAGCGCCCATAAGGGCGATGATGTAGAAGATGATTTCTACCCGGGTCTAGGCACGATTTTAAGCCGTGTCTACGTCCGGTCATCAGTTGGGTTTGAGACACTGTAGAGGTTTGTTAAAGACATCGGGGCGCTAGCGACGGTGTCATTAACAAACCTCCACAGTTGCCCATACTTAACTGACAACGCACATAGACACGGCTTAAAACCGTCCTTAGACCCTGCGGAAAACAGCTTTGTCAACAAGCGCCTGTAACAACTTTATTACTTACGTACTGTTCTGTCTTGATTGTGAATGAACTGTCCATTCTCAGCCCATCTTGCTGCTTTTTCAGCCAGTTCTTCATCCCAAACCTTAAAGTAAATAAAACAAAGTTATTAACCCTAAGGACTCTTTAGGGTTCCGTACATCAAAAGGAAAAAACGGAACCCTTATAGGATCCTTTTTTGTCCGTCCGTCCGTCCGTCCGTCCGTCTGTCAAGACCGATTTTCTCAGGATCGCGTGGAGGTATCAAACTGAAATTCATATCTAATACTCAGGTCTACTGTCCCTTGGAGCTGTGAAAAAAATCAAACTTCTAAGCCAAAGCAATCAAAAGATATTCGTTTATGCCGCGAATTTCCGCAAATTTTCGAAACTCACACGGGAATCAAAACCTACAGGGTACTTCCCGTGAACTTAGAATCTATTTATATCTCTAGTACAGATAAAGGAAAAATTGCGAAAACCGTAAATTTTTAGTTACATCATATAATAAAAAATATTTTTGAAAATTCAGGTTTTTACGGAACCCTCGGTGCGCGTGACTGACTCGCACTTGGCCGTTTTTTTTTATATTACAGGGGGGATACGAGCTAACGGCTCACCTAATGGTAAGTGATAACCGTCGCCCATAGTTACCTGCAACACCAGGAGTATCTTTAAGGAAGGAGTACGCTCTTTTTTTTGAAGGACTTCAGATCGTAGTGTTCCGGAAACACTGCTAACTTTGAAGTCTTGTTGAATCTTGCTTTATTAAATTAAAATTATCATTTTCGATAAGATGTTCTAAATTCAATAGCTATCATAAAGTTTGAAGAAACAGGAAATAATTAAAACGGGCACCGCGATTTTTACACGACTGCTAAAAAAGAGTGTAATGTTTTCTATCCGTCTAGAAGTCCTGTTTATGGCCTTAGACGTAGGGACAATAATAGGCTGCATCTTATAATGACAACTGTCTTCATGCGATACAGTCAGCTAACAGACCTTCAATATGATGCGAACCAGATGTTCGGAAGCGGATTAGTATGGCAAAAAACGCGATGACCCGGCTAGGCAGGATCTGGACTGATAGATCGATCTCACAAAAGACCAAGGTTGGCCTGGTTAGAACTCTGATGTTCTCCATATTCATCTACGGTGCGGAAACATTCAAGAAGGCAGACAGATCTCGTATTGACGCATTTGAGATGTGGTGTTGGAGGAGAATGTTACGAGTTCCGTGGACAGCCCACCGCACAAATGAGTCAATTTTTAAAGAAGTGGGAGTCACCGTTAGGCTGTCCACATTCTGTTTGCGTAGGATCCTCGAATTCTTCGATCACATAGCAAGGAAGAAAAACGATACCCTGGAAGTGCTCCTGGTGACAGAAAAAGTACAGGGAAGGCGACCGAGAGGAAGAAGCTCCATGCTCTGGACAGACCAGATCCGCGACAATACCAAAACTGGAGTCCGCGATGCACTCCACACTGCCGAAGACCGCAACAAGTGGAAAGCGATCGTCCACAAAATAATTCGAGAAGGTTACGACCCTCAGCAATGAGGAGCACGACACAAGGAGGAGGAGGATTTTATTTTTTGTATCACAAGCGTCTATAGGCTGTGATATTCACTAACTGTTTAACATAAAAAAATGCCATGTAAGGCTCAACACATGCTTGCGCAGAGTCAAGTGTCAAGTCGCTTCATGATTTTCGCCTTGGGTGATTTAACAGTGGGAAAATAGAAATGAATTTGCTACAGATGAAAATCATGAAACTTGGTATTAAGAAGTCGAGTGTCGACGAGCGTCGTATAAGTGGAAATACCTTAATAGTGTGAAAATAGAGATGAATTCGCTACAGGCGAATGAGTCTAACTCCTTCATTTATTACCATGAACTTCATGTTGGAGGCAGCGGGCTGGCGCGGTATTAAGCCGCGAGCCGCCATCGTCCGCTTGAAGTTGTGGCTGTCCACGATCTGCCGGATTTGGCCGCAAGATACCGGCAATCCTTTCAGAAAAATACGGAAACTTGATTTATTTAATGGAGAAATACGAAGACGGCAATAACTTATCTAATGGACACTAGAAGTAAAGAGAAATGCAAAAATACTAAAAACTTCTGCAAAGAGAGAACCTTTATAACAATGGACTTTTTAACGGCGAAAGGTACGTATTTTCTGTAGACATTTTAATTGTGACAGACAATTTTCACCGCAGTTCCAAAAAGCACTATTGTCTCCAAGTCACTTTGATGTGATAATGAAATGAAATGTGCCTAATAATTTTTAATTGCCCTGTAATTTTTCAATATTTCGCTTTAATCAAACGTAGTTCAAGGATGCGGACTTTCTTTCGGCTATCACATAAAATTTCTAAGAAGATGATATACCCTATGATATATTTATTTGTTTCAATAAAGCCAGTATATATCGTGTTTTCATAATTAGAAAAAAAAGTTTAAACTATTTAAGTCTTTTTGGATGCGTGTTTTGGTGCCTGTGTACAGTAAAAAGGAAGTGTAGTAAGCCAGAAGGGTGTTCTAATAAATAGCCCTCCAAGCGAAAGTAATAGGGTTATTGGTAACCGACGGGCTCGCTCTGCATCGTTAGCTGCTGCCTGTCAAAGGACAAGCCAAAGGAATGCTTCAACCAGACTATTTGTACGGTTATTTTACCGAAAACCGAAAGTAAACTAACCGAATTTTATGTCCAAAAACCATAGACATCGCAACGCTTACCAATTCAGCGTTATTTATAACATTATTATTATAAATAACACATTATTTATAACGCTGAATAAGTATATTTAAAGTACTTTATTTCAGATGAATACATAAAAATATTGAAATCGAGAAGCTGCTTTTGCCTTTATCAAAGTCAACATTCGCAAAATACCTTTGGTATGTTACGGAAATCCAAGAAACGTCTCTGGAAACCGTTAAGCTTCTAAAAACGTCCTTTGACACATTCGCAGCTTTTCGTTGCTAAAGGAAATATTATCCCAATATTCGGTGAAAGGAGGAAGAACTCCATTTTCATTCCCTCGTTTTATGTATTATATGAAAATTTACATAAAATTATAGGCTCAAACTGTATTTTGATAAAAATTGTCATACACATTCCGGTAATGCCTACTTGAATCGTTTATAATTTACTTGTGGCACGCCCTCCCTTCGTTTCAGTGTAGAAGACTACAGTTTTTGTTCACAGGCGTATAACATATTATACACACTTAAAAATTTGAGAAATATATTAAAAATAGATCGAAATTTGAAAAATCCAGAGCCTTCTCCTCCCTATTCCGCCCCTGGACCAGCAGTAATCTGCCATTTCTTTTTTCAAATGTTTAATACTTGTAAGGGAATTAATGACGTTGTGGGTTACCTACTAATGCGAAGAGATGACGCTGCCTTGTTGCCTAAGAAAGGTTAGAGAAAACTTGACGCGGCCATCAGGGCCGCGGTAGCATAATGGTCAGTACATTCGCCTGGATAACGAAGGGTGCGGGTTCGAGTCCCGTCTGCTGCTGCCTGGTCCGCATGGATTTTATTCTAACAAAATTTTCTTTAGATAAAAATGTAGTTAACGTGACATAACCGTAAAAGTAAGACATATTATGGCAACGCAGACTTTTTTGTGGACATTGTTGTCTTCTACAAAATTATAGTGCATCACTTTGCTCTATTGTCAATAATTTCCGCAGCGTACGTGATATAAGGTTGTTTTGGTAATTTTTCTCACGTTGGGTTAGGTTAACTTCGTTAATGTATATCGAAGTTATCATACGGATCCCTAACTTTATTGTAAATATTATATAGCCTTTGTTTATCAAGAATAATGTAGAATTCTAAATGTGAAATTATTTTTCAAATGGTTCCAGTAGTTTCGGAACCTATTTATTCAATGCAACCAAACAATCAAATCTTTCCTCTTTATAATATAAGTATAGATAACTCAACATGCTTAACTAGAAAAAGCGGTTATCCAATAGAAATCAGAAACAAAGTGCGATAAACAAGGACGCGTAGGATTTACAACTACTAAGACGCGAAACAATGTGGCCAATATCCGATTCCGAAACCTTAAGAAAGTGCGCTGCGTTAAGCGGGGCACAGAGCGGGCGTCCGCTTGGCGTGATTGTTTCATAGACCTGCCTTACGCGGCGCGGACGGCGGAGTCCGCCTCGCGGGCGACGGTTCACGCTCGATTAGTTGTCTTCTGTGCTCCTCGACTGCTTTCCCTTATAACCATGTAGTATTATAGAGAAATTGTTGAATTGGCGCTACGAGAGGCACCCGCCTCTCGCGGGTCCCGCGACGGAGTACGGAGCGGATCTCTGCGACGGACGTCCGCTCCTTCCAAAGGCAGCGCACCCCCTTAAGACGGCGACTAATTAACAAGAAATTTAAATGAATAACTGTTACCTAAATAAGCATCATCCGTGCTTCGGGAGGTACGTTAAGCAGTTGGTTTCGACTGTAGTCTGTAGCACCCTCACAAAACCGCACTGGGCCCGCGTGGTGGGTCATGCCCAATCTCCCTATTCCATCCATAAAGAAGGCCTGTGCCCCAGCAGTGGGGACATCAACAGGCTGATGATGATGACATAACATCATCCACCAATCCGTATTGGGTTCGCCCGGTAAATGATGATATCTCCGGATGAGATATATTTTGTGTTAGTTGACTACTCGCCACAATAACTGTTACAAGTTGAAATGCAATCAGTATAGTATAGTATAAGATTTTCCAACGTTGCGCTGTCCGTTGAATGAGTTATATCGGTAACTTGAAAAATGGCCTAAAATGACTACGCTTTATATGCTGTTTAAAAGCATTTAAGTGCCTGTTTGTGGACATAGCAATAATGAATCAAATATTATCCACCATGAAAATTGGGTAAAAAGTATTTGAAAGGGTAAACAACTATAGCCCCCATTAACGTTTCACTTAGAAACTTATTTCTTTATTTTACGGAGGCAAATAACGCTACGCGAGTAAAAAGCTCTGCCCTGTTTCATAAACTGTTTTTGGCGCAACAGCTAAAACAAAATGTATATTTTGCGAAATGCCAACGCTCCACCGAGTCTGGTGATTATTTGAAAGTAAAATTTTCTGTTTTCGCTGGAAAACTATAACCGTTGGGAAATACAGAAATTATTCGTTGGGACAAAAATTTGGTGACCGTGTAATGCTTTAACATTAAAAATGTTAAGTGAATAAAAATTATCAGAACCAAAAAAAAATCAATTCCAATCGCAAGTTTACGGTTCAGTGTTCCTACTCACTAATATTATAAATGTAAAAGTTTTTATGTTTATTACTTAAACGCGCAAACATGGCTTAGCAGATTTGGATCATGGCAGACATATATTTATTACCTGGATTGTGACAAAGGATACTTTTTACCCCACATAATTGAAGTTAGGTTTCTGAGGAATTATAAAATAAAGTTTACACGGAGGAAGACCCGAGTCACGAATATAGTTTGTAATATTTTGTAGCAAATAGACAAAACATAACTTTGACATTAGCATTAAACTAAGGTTGAATATATAAAAAAAAACTAAACAATAAGTAGTTGAATTTAAATATGTTTTTTGGTCCATGTTTTTATGATCAGGATTTTTTGCTACTCCTTGTCATCACAATAAACAGTCTAAAAGTCAGTACTCGTTGTCAATTCTTCCTTTATTAATATATCATTAAAAAAATATGAATTCTTTTCATTTAGAAGCCTAGTATATCAAGTTAAAAAAAAATTCATCTTCACAATTTCTATGCGTGCTATGTATTATATGTTATGTTATGTTATATATATCTATATATATTACAATAAATGATATTATTATATATATATATATATATATATATATAATAATATCATTTAGTGTCAGACAACACAGATCCATATGTTAGTATACACTATAACTTATAACTAAGTGTTAGTAGCCTATAAGTAAGTATTCACACAAGTAGAACAGTTTTGATTTTTTTAATACGTCATGTACCTTAGTGTCGCCGCACACGGGCCACCGACCACAACCACAAAACGCCGCCACCGGCATATTTCTTGCAGTTTTCATACATTTTATATGGACTCGCCACACACGGTACGCCGGTGGCCGCCGCACGCTACAAATCGTCGTTGCTCGCTTCTTGTGGCCCACACCGACCGCTTAATGCGCCGATAAAAAACGCCGCCACACGTCACTCGCGCGATTTACCACCCCTCTCTCCTTAACCACAGTCAGCCACTGTCGCGCGCTTCAGCCACTTTAGTAGCCGCTTCTAGCTTCTCGTGGCGGCGTTTGTGGCTGTGGCGTGTGGCCCGTGTGCGGCGATACTAAGAGGCACTCCGCGCGAGTGACACCAGGCAGAATAATTAACTTCTATTTCAGTCATGTTGTATATATAGCCATTTAAAAATCATATAAACTTACTTTCAGTATTTGCAGCGGAGAAAATTGAAAGGTAAACCAAGAATAAGCACAACATGTTGACACCTGTTAACTCGTTTAAAAGTCTGAAATGGCAATGGCGAGTAATTAGTATTTTCCATTACTATGAATTGTGTGACACAAACATATTCAAATTGCCATTTGTGCAAATAATCATACAGAAGAGTTCACGCACAATAGAACGCTCTAAATTGTGATGACTAATATACACTAAGTAAATATTTGTTTGGGCACTTTCAGTTTATGTATTTCGTATATTTGCTAAACTTAAAACAAATTATAAAATACGTCAGCCGTCGTAGGACAGAAATAAAATCGTTATTAAGAGATAAAAAAACAGAATAGAAGTGATGCCGCAGTTTTTCGCTAGACCGATAGCTCAAAGGTTTTATGTTACGACGCATTTTATAATTTCACTGTCCAAGATTATTAAAGATGCCACACCCTTAAATTTATTTGACAGCAATAATAATTAAGAGAGGAATTTTCGTAATTATTTTAGAATATGGGTTAGCAACTTGATTCTGTTATTTCCGAAGAATCAGATTAGACACAACTAATGCGCCGTTGTAGAGTATAGTATTACTAATTTTATATTGTTGCCCAAATTATAATAGTACATTATTGATATCAGAGAACCAAGTTGAAAACAATAAGGTACATTTGAGATCCGCATTGAGTGCGAGTATTATATTATTACTAGCTGAGCCAGCGATCTTCGAAGCGCCATAAAAAATACGGGTTGGTGGTAAAAGGGTGTAAATATTAGGGTTGTATGTTTTTTGTATGATGTATCATAAAAAAAAAAACAAAAAAAATGTCCAAAAAAAATTTAATGGTTTAAGTAACCATCCTTAACATTTAGGGGGATAGAAAAAGATGTTGTCCGATTCTCAGACCTACTGAATATGCATTTAAAATTTCACGAAAATCGGTCGAGCCATTTCGGAGGATTTTAATTACGCACACCGTGACACGAGAATTTTATATATAAGATTATATCTTTAGCCGAGTATATAAATTTTCGATAGCTTACGAGTATCATCAACACTGCTGTAAATAATTTAATACAATTACTTATAAAACCTTACCTGAAATTTCTAACAAGATATTGCGTGTAAATCTTTTTTATTTCTATAATAAACCGGCCACATGCTTGTGCCACGCGCAGTGTAGGGTTGCGTAGTTGCCTGTAGTTACCAAAATATAGCAACCCCAAAAAATATTTTCATTTTTTTTATTATACATACCATTTTTTCGGCGTGATTAATATACATATCACCACAAAATTACAGCTCTCTAGTCGTAATAGTCTCCAAGCAAAGTCGGGGACGGATAGACGGACATGACGAAACAATAAGGGACTACGGAACACTATTAAAAGCATTATAGTCATTTATACGAAAAAGATAAGCTAGCGGACCCACAGACGTTGCACACATTAATTACCGGTCCAGCGGATTAGTAGGAGCTCAGTTACATACACATGAAAATAGTGTATATATTTTCTCAACTACTATTATCCTGATAAAGTATTGAATTAAGGGTACCTTGTCAGGACTACGGAACCCTAAGAGCACATTGTTTTGGATTAATATACTGATTTTACAAAATATCAATAATTGTGTTTGGTAGATAAGATACTTCCATCACGATTTCATCTTAGCTTTGCGTTATCCGATAGGCAGTTTGAGATTTTGGTACTTTAGGTAAGTACATTACGGAACTGGTAAGTAATTTAGCGCGAAACTTGACGGTAAACTACTATCTAATATAGCCGTATATTATTCACACACATGTATCTCTTGAGGGTTGGAATGAGCTTCATGTACATCAAAGATCCTTTTGGCGAAGATTTGAATTAAGATTTTGTTTAGGTATAACATCATAAAGTCTTGCTTTACGGAAGCGCGTTTTTAAAATTAAACACTCTCTGAAAGCCGTAGCAAACATATCAGCTCAGAAAGGGATCGGCATCATATCAACTCATAGGCGAGGAGCCACCAATCCTGAAAGCTCCGTGATCACAGATTCTAATATTTTTAATGAAAAATAAAAGTTAACGTTTAGACAAACAAGATTTGCTTGGTCGGCGTGGATTCGATTGGCCGGAAATATATTAATTAAATTATTTATTATTAAACTTCCATATTTTTTTTCCGTCATCACGGATTTTGTTCAATCTTATATAGAATTCTGTGTCAAAAAATGTTCAACAAGAAAAAATCCGGCCGACCAATGATTATTAGCCGGAAAGGTAACGCATACCTTTTTGAATGGTGTGATAAGGGGTAAAATTTATCCATTATCACGGAAACCTGTTTTTTTTAACTCACGCGTTTTAATGTCACATTTATGATTATCTTGGTATGCGTGCTTACAAATTGCCGAAAGTATCGCGCATACCAAATTTTAACTCTTCGCTTTTTAACGGTTTCTATATTTCTGTAAAGAGTGAGTGAGGCAAGTTGAAACCTTGCACGAGTTCGTATCTTTCTATTCCCTACGAATTTAACATTTACCTGCCTCAAAGATACGCAATACCGTAAAGTGAGGTTGTTGTACGACAGGGCTGCATAGCCTCAACTCTCTTACTCCGGTTTCTTTTCAAGTCCATAAGACGGCTCCAAGAGTAAGTGAGATAAAGGTAACATCGAATTTATGTTAAAGTTCCATAGGTCTTTTTCTCTAACTCCGAAAAGGTCACAGCATACCTACGTTGTCCTACAGCATTTTGGGGGTTCAGATCATTTCGACATTACAGTCTGCTGTTTTCCTAGCTGTCAAAAGTGTCGTTATTCTGTATAGCTTACTACGCATCAGCATTCTAAACATATTTATTAATTTAACAAAATTCACTGTAGAATATTTAAAAAAAAAGGTAAATTTAAAAAATCAAAAAACCCGACTGCTTAATTATACTTCAAATAAAAACTGAAAAGAAAAAAACAAGTCCAGTAGTCTATAATTCTGTTAATAAGGAACAAAGCTACTTTAACAGTCGGGACCCATTAAATATTCAAGAATACATAATATTTTTCAACAGTGGGTCCCGACTGTTAAAGTAGCTTTGTTCCTTATTAACAGAATTATAGACTACTGGACTTGTTTTTTTCTTTTCAGTTTTTATTTGAAGTATAATTAAGCAGTCGGGTTTTTTGATTTTTTAAATTTACCTTTTTTATTTCACACTTTTTAGTTAGTTAGTATTTTAAGACGGTATATACCGTAGTCTTGTTACTTCAGTAAGAGAATTAATTTTTTTTTTTTTTTTTTTTTTTTTTGTTTCCTCCCAGGCGGGGGAGAGGGTGAGAAATCCTCATGGATACCCTACAGCCGGCTGTAGGGTTATGTCAGACTCCTACTGACTAAAAAACACCCTTTATTCATGCTTATGGCCAGAAGGGCCTTACAAGCTTCATCTGAAGCGGTCACCCCCCGAGAGGGGGATGATGCGGCGCTGCGTTAGTTTAAACTAGTGCATAGTTTAAAATAACGCAAAATGCGCTTAGAGGACAAGTGCACTCAGATGTGCACTTGAAACGGGAGGGGACTGAGAGGAATCGAACCTCTCTGTGTCGGGGGGGCGGGGGGGACTCATCGCGGGTGTTGGATCCTCAGCGGCCAAGAGGGCCGCGAGATCGCGCGTGAGTTTATTGTGTGTGACTGTGAGTGCGTGTTTGGGCCTGCGGGGCCTGAATCGAGATGGAGTGTGTGGAGCGTATCCCGACGCCGATCTAATGAGTGTGTTAGAGTGCTCTTCTGCAGCTTTGAAGAACCGTTCCGAGCACTCTGTGAGGTGTGTTTGAATTGTGTCTAGTTGAAGGTCCCTGTGGAGGTCCGCGTTGCGGACGTACCACGGGGCCCCTGTGGCTATGCGGCAGAAGCGATTTTGAAGCACTTGAAGTTTGTTCAAAATCGCTTCGTCCGCGTGTGCGAACACTGGTGACGCGTAAGTGAGGACCGGGCGTATGCAAACTTTGTAAAGCGTTCGCTTGTTACGAAGTGACATTTTGCTGTATTTACCGAGCATCGGGTGGAGGCGGCTCATATAAAAGCGCGCGTTCGCGACTACGCGTGTGATGTGTGCACGGAAGGTGAGTTTTTTGTCTAGTGTGATCCCTAGGTATTTGACTGTGCGGTGCCACGGTATTGCTATGCCTTGCATTCGCAGAGACCGCGCACCGTGTTGTATGGTTTTGGTGCGGCGCTTGGGATCGAAGCAAATGGCCGAACTTTTGTCCGGATTTACGTCGATTCTCCAATCGCGGAACCAATTCCCAAGTGTTGTGATTGCCGGTTGGAGCTTGGCTATGATTTGATTGGTACTGGCTCCCCTAGAGTAGAGGGCCGTGTCGTCCGCGAAGAGAGCGAGCTCGACACCCTTGGTCTGAGGGATGTCATTGGTGTACGCTGTGTATAGCAGGGGGGAGAGAGCGGACCCCTGCGGTACACCGGCTCGTAGTGGGCGGGGCGTTGATAGTGAACCTTCGTATCTATAGCGGAAGGTGCGGTTTGATAGAAAAGAGGCTACTAACCTAACTAGGCGGTCAGGTAACTCTAATTGATATAATTTAAAGATTAATCCGTCGTGCCAAACCTTGTCGAAGGCTTTGGCGACGTCGAAGAAGACTGCAATAGTTTTATATTTGTTAAGTTGGAAGCCGCTTAGGGCGTGCTCCACTATGCGATGGATCTGTTGGGGGCAGGAGTGTTTGGCTCTGAAGCCGAATTGGTGGTCAATGATAATAGGATCGGATGGTGATAGGAGGTGCTCTCTTAGTCTGGTCAGTATGGTTTTTTCGAAAAGTTTCGCCATTGCCTTGAGGAGGCTAATAGGGCGATGGCTACTGGGGAGGTGCGCGGGTTTTCCGGGTTTGGGGATGCCTATCACTATTGCTTCTTTCCAGGCGGCTGGGAAGTAGCACAGATCAAAACATGCGTTAAAGAGAATTGCAAGCAAGGTTAGCATTTGGATGGGAAAATGCTTGAGCGCCTTGTTAGAGATGCCGTCGGCGCCCGGGGCCTTGCGTTGCTTAAAGTTCCTAATGGTCTGTCTGAGTTCGTCTGTCGTGACGGGGTCTAGGGGGTTGTCAATG